TTTGCTCAGAAGATATTTGTGTGTACTTAATCTTATCTTATATGCTTGTTTTAACTTACTGAACCCAGGCAATTATTGATGCTGCTGCGTATGTCCCTCCAGCACCTACAGAAGCACAAAAGAAGAAAATAGCTCAATTGTATGATTCCTTTTATATCCTCATTTTGAACTCTTAACCATTCCAACTTGCTATTCTTTGTTCACTTCTATAATTTCTACGATGTCTCTTTATCATATCCATTGACATCAAGTTTTCTTGTTTATGGCTGAAGGTCTGCCAAGTCAGAGCAGAAACGATTGCAGAACAAAAAAGTCTTGTCACAGAAGAAGTCCCTCCGTCAAAGTAAAGGTAGCTGGGACTAAAACAGTGAGCTGGGATCCCACTTTGTCTTCGTGAATTAAAGATGCCTTAGCTAGATCATTAAGATTACTTCCACCTCTGTCGGTATCTGGTCGGAAAAAAAAAGGAGTTGCCTCTTAGGGTATGATTAGAGGAGCTCGGTAAACTTTCTCTTCGTTGTGAATACGTTAGGTAAGAGGTTGGTATTTGGTTGTTAACGGTTTCACGTAACATCCAACTGTCTATTTTCTGAATTAGATGCTGTGAAACATACAGAATTCGACGATCTTTTGACTAAATCACCAGTTCCTTCTCATCTCATCTCATCTTTGATAACGGAATCTGTCGGTTCGTTAAGTATTGCTTTTGGTGAGTTGGTGATATTGACAATTTGTATATGTGAAGGAATTTTTCAATGAATTTATACTTGTACTTTGATATATAGGTGCCGGCTTTCTTATGCACTCTAATTTTATTGCTGTGATTGTGCACCTACCACACTTTTGTACGAGTAGTATTCCAAAAGAACAAAAAATACTCAACCATATTTTATCTATATTGATTGCTTTGATAAAAGGGTGATGTTACATAACATTAAAAGTCCCTTTTAATTTGGAAAAAGTAGTATTCTGTCATTTGATGCAACTCGCATAGTTTCATTAATCCGTTAATTATTTAGAATAAGAACAATTTATGTCATGAAAAGAAAAAGAACATTATATAATGTGAAAGAAAAAGTAATAAGAACATTATCTATTTCGAATAAAGAATAATATCATTGGTTTGGATTATTTGTCTTACTCCGTTTTAATGAAGTTTTTTTCACTTTTTGTTTTGGGTTGATCTTGAATGTTTTGATATATGGACTCATAGTAAGTGGTTAAATTTTTTTGGATGGCTAGAATTATGAGGGGTATTTTTTTTTTTTTTTTTTTTTTTTTTTTTTTTTTTTTTTTTACAGAACATTCACTTATCTTTTAAAATATGTGGAGGATACATTAAAATGTTAGAATTAATTTATAAACACGCAATTTTAAAATAAGGGTACAATGTGTGATCAAATAAATTTTATACCTGTTTTCAAAAAATAAAAATAAAAATAAATAAATAAATAAAATTATACCACGTTAGTATATATATACAAATTTCAAACTTTTTGTTACACTTTTCGTCAGTCTCGCTACCTCTTTAGTTGCCGCCCCCTACTTGCTCATTCGCAATTACTACCACTTCTACCCCGGCCAAGCAACCAAAGCCGGGGACCTAGGTGAGAATAGTGAAAGAAAGAGAAGAAGCGGGGTAGAGTAATTGGAAAACTCATTAGGCTCATGCCCTGAAGATTGCAGGTTCGAATCCTGCCCCCGCCTAAGAACTCTTTTTTCATTTTAGGTATAGATGGTACTGGACAAGCTCTTAGGGAATATCAAAATTTAGGGTTTATTAAAAATTAAAAAAAAAAATGAAGTCTTAGATCTTAGAGGTTACAAATTTGAATATTTCTCTTCTCCAATTGTATTTACACTTGTAATTCGTAATGCATTACGGAGTATTACTTATTAGGACCAAAAAGAGAAAGGAAAATAAACCATAAAAGTTAAAAATGAAGTATGAATTAAAACACTTACCAAGGTAAAATATAAAAGCAACATTTCAATAACTTTGACGCGTATTGAACATTCCTTAACCGTGTTTAACAAGAATACTCCAAGTCTAAAGTAATTATCCCAAACTTTATTAACTCATGACGTACAGGAAAAGGTAAGCCAAAATCCACTGACTAAAATCAGAATTTTTAATGACATAAGAATTCTGAAGGCTGAAAAATTACTCTAATTTTCATTTTCCACAATCTTTTGACCCTTTAAAAGGAGGTCAATATATTTAATTTGCGTGTCCAGTCTGTCCAAAGTATAATTTGTTTCCACAAGAATATTCAAATGTAATGTTTTATCTTTGGACTGAGTTTTCTATAATTTTGTTGTAAGCTTGTAATATGTTAGTAGTATGCATTAACACAAACACGGCTTTAATAATCTCACCCACAATATGCTTTTACATGTTTTGAAGTAATGAGATAACACCATCATAATGATCAGTCTTTATTTTGGCGTATATATATGGATGGGGTAATAACCCGTTAGTATTAGTGGTATGGATTATGGAGTAATATTCTTTTTGTTTCATATACGATCAATATAATTTCATAGGAAGTAGTAAATTTTTTAATATGTTATTTTTTTAATAATTTTTTTATAATGTTATTGATATGAATTAAAATGAGTGATTTATATAAATTTTACACATGTGGTGTAAAATTTATTCCTAAACTTAAAATTTGGAACATAATTGTAAAGAGTTGTAAACTTGTAATGCACTCGAATGACATCATGAGATAAGGAATATTAGTTAAGTACCAAAAATTAGGAACTGACAAGTCTAATTGGAATATATTGTGTATTGGATAAGACAAGTCATCAAGCAAATATTATTTAATAATAAGAGATAAATGTAGCAAACTAAATATAAAGTAAGTCGGACTTTTAGGAATGGAGAGAGTATAATTACACTTTGAAAAAAAAAAAACTCACAACCAATTATTATTAATAAAAAAACTTAGTTTGCAATTGTTGAGATCATGAATTTGGAGATAAGTATTTATTCATGGTACTAATATGAGTTATATGTGACCTCTTCTTTACAACTTAGGACCTGTTCTGATTTAATGATCTGAAGTGAATTGAGCTAAATTAAACTAAAATATTTATGTGAAAATAAAATTAGAAACTGAACTAAATTGTATTGATCTGAACTGAGCTGAAATTAAAATGAAGAAAACAGACCCTTAGGACCTGTTCACATTTACTGCTGAACTAAGAAATATTTTTTTTCTAGATAACATGAAAGTATGAAAACAATAATATCAACGCCGCAAGATCCTCAATCTCCTCAACAACCCTTGCGCAACACTCCGACAGTAATACCTAGCCATTTCCTCAGCCAACCTAAGTTAGTAGCTAGCTAGCTAGCTAGTTACTCAGCGGCCACTCACTTGCTCCATTGTTTGCCCTATGCCTAGCATACATTACCATTCTTATATACTCTTAAAAACAGCTTTACATAACTATAATTTCTTCGTGTTCAGTCCTATTAGAAATCAAAAGTTATAATGCTACGTAAATTCTTTTTTGATCATTACTTAATACTTATTAAAGTACTACGTATATTAGTATGGAGTAATTTATATCCTATGATATTGGCTTAGTGTTAAGAGTTTGGTCTTTCCACTAGGGGCTCTTTAGGGGCGACAAACTTAGAATTTTTTAATTACATTTGGGTGTATCGTATAGGCTGTCTGAGAAACTGAGGATTCTCTTATCCTCCCCCTCACTTTGATCGAATTTCACTTGCAAAGCTAGATTGGATTGATATATCAGAGAATGAGAGATGTCGTCATAAAATCTAACACGGTCACTGCTCAAATTGTTCGTTTGAGTGGTATGTTCAGTATTTCAATTGTTTTTGACTAATTTAAATTTTTCTTATACATGAAATTGTCTGAATTTATCTACATTTATTACATTACATAGTTAATTTTCTTACTAATTATCTGCAAGCTAAAGTAAGTAAACAAAAACCAATTAAAATGAAATAATTTGTACATATTGAGCTAAAATTTTCCACAATCCTATTTTCCACTCCCTTTGTCAATGCATTATTAGTAAAAAAAAAAGGGGTCACTACAATATAAATAAGATCTCCATGTTGAAATAAATTAAAAGTCATTTTGGCAATATATAGGTTATAAGAGGTTAATTGTTTAATGTAATATTTTATATATTGGTGGTTTTCAAAAAAAATAAAAATTATATATTGGTTATTATGAATAATAAAGGTCACTATGTTAAATTTAGGGTCATAACTTTGTATTTTAAGTTCACAATAATATTAAATGTTATACTAGATTTAATAAAGGTTAATATGTTAAAAATAAGGTTACTATGTAAAAACTAAGGGTCACTATGTTCAAAATAATGTAAGTTGCGTGTGTATAAATCTCGGGTCCACAATAACATTATTGTGGACCAGGTCCACGCAAGTCTTTCTGTTAATATATAACGTATATTCTCAGTAATATTCCTTCAATTTTATTTGGCCAAACCCATTTTTCATTACGTGCAACTGCTGCTCTCAGCTCTTGTGTCCTAATTGCAATTACCTAATTGGATTTTACAATATATTCTACAATTAAATTTTATTTTGAAGCAAATAATTATAGAAAAAAATAAAATAAAAAATTTTGGTGCAAGATTATGAAAATAGTTGGGCAAAACTTTCAAGAGTGACCATAAACCCATAAAATGCCTCACTTGAAATAATATACTCCATCAAGGAAGTAATTATAAGCTTTTTTTATTTTAAAAAAGACATATTAATAAAAATGAAGTTTTAAGACTAAAAATGAAGCTATAATAGTTTTGGCATGGATCAAAAGCCTACAAAGTACATCGTACTACTTAGGGTGACAACTTTTCCGAACATACAAAAGTATACACCGTACATAAGTACAACAAAGTACATGACTACTTCCCGAACAAATCAAAACAAGCATGTCGACTAACGAATAAGCTTAAAACAAAACCAATTGTCATCAACAAGTCTATGAACAAAACTTCATAATCACTCATTTTAAATTAGTCTGTACAAAGATATAGCCTAATCTCAATTAGACCATACATACATTATCATATATACTACACACTTCTCAAACATTTGCATGGATGTCTCAGAAGCAACAGTCATTTATATTTACATTTATTACTTAGTCTACAATATCCCCTTTTCCTCTCCCAAAATTAAATTAATTCAAATAAAATAAAGACACATTCCTTTTTTTTTCCCCCTAAATTACGAATATTGTTTTTTTTTTTTTGGTCAGATATTTCAAAAAAAAAAAAAAAAACATAAATATCTCAGGTAGTTCTGATGACGTGTTCCTCACCAGAAATCTGATCCACATGTCTAATCCAACGCTTCTTCTTCATCAATGGAGCAGACCCACCGTTAGATGCTGCCACGTGTGCGATATCTAACCCCGGTCCTACGGGTAAAAAAGCAGTGCGTACCACACGATATTTCCCTCCATCTAGAACTCCTCTCCACTTAAACCCAGACGACGCCGTTTTAACCTGAGCATTTTTACATACCAAAACTGCCCCTCGATTACTTAACCTTGCTAACCTTAAGAACCTCGAAAAGTCTCTCCTTCGACTATCTACCACCAAAAAGTCAACGCCTTCGAGTTCCGACATAACTTCTTCCGGTTCTCCGACAAGAATCTCCGGTGTTGGTACGCTGTGTACGACGGATGTCATCGCTTGCATGTAATCGGAACGAGAGCGGTCGTCGGGTACTACGCATACGTGACGACCCCCCGTGTGACGGGCTGCGATTGCGAGACCGATGCTTCGAGGGGTAAAATTGCCATTTGACCATGTTTCTACTATTAGCTTTGAATTCCATCCTGCTGCCATCGCTGATATTAGTTCTGCTACTCCTGATTCTTGGTATAATTCACACTGCCATTTCAAAAAATATAAACACGTTATAATCGAGTCTTTTCATACAGGAAGAACATTATGAGTAACAAGTGGTTTTTTTTTTTTTTTTTTTTTTAATATTTTGATATTTAATAAGATAAATTAATAATGTTAAAACTTAATTACAAAAAGTTACTCGTAGTTTTTAATTGGAGGTTACAAAAGTTAGTTAGCTGTTCACAGAAATTCATTTTTGGAAAAAATATTCACAGAAATTCATAATAAAATGAAACTTAAAGCAAAAGGAAAAAAAAAAAAAAGAAAAAAAAACTTCTACACGTTTCTTGATAAAAGCAAAATCTTGGATTTTGAATTAGTTGCAGAAATACAAATAGATATTTATTTTGAATTTATTTTGTTTTTATTCAATGAATTAACCCAAAACCTAGTTTTATTTATTTACTCCTAATTTTTTTTTTGTTAAAAAAATAGTGAAGCAAAAAGAATTATGAAGGGGTTAAAGGATCAAATAATAAAACCAAAAATCAGACCAAAAGATGAAAAGGAAAAAAAGAAGAAAAACTTACAGATTTAACTGTATCAATATAAGCTTTAGAAGCATTATCAGGAGACCAAACCACCTTCATTTTAATCAATCTTTGTTTATATTAATAAATCTTCAATAAAAACGAGATAAATGAATCTCTTGGAAAACTTGAGCTGTTGATTATCTCCTTATAATCGGTAGATGATAGCTGGTAAAATAAAGATGATAAGAGCTTGAGAAGAGAGAGAAAATAGAAAAAAATGAGAGAGAAAGTGAAAATATTTTCTTGGAGAATAAGAAAAATATGTGTGGAAATAGAAATGAAAGAAAAGAAGCGACTTTTAAGGGAGTCACCTATTTCTCCTTTTAAAGGGAGAGGAGAGAGAAAAAAAAAAAAAAAAAAAAAAAAGAGTTGACAAATTGTAATGGTGTGTTGTGTGGGTGAGTGTGTGCCGCAAATCCTACGTGTTTTCAAGGATAAGCTCTTTTTACTTGGGCGGAGAGTAGACTACACCAACGATGGATTCTTCTTCTATTCCTTGTTTTTTCTTTATTTATAAATTAACAAATTACGTAAAATTATAATTATTAATGTTAAAATTAATAATAAATAATTTTAGATTGCCATTTTCCACTTTTAATTTGTTCAAGATTATTTTATTGTTTTGGACCAATACTTTTTTTCATTACATTTTTCTTAACATTGATTAGTATGTAATAGTAATCTTCTCCATGGACCAAGTTACTTTACTAGCTCCAACTTTCATGGCTAAGTGATGACAATTTTAACTTGTCTTTTGTAACCTTTTCCATGGACCAAGTTATCTTATTAACTAATACTTTTATAGCTAAGCGATGACGATTTTAACTTGCCTTTTGTAATCTTCTATATGGATGGATTTTCGTCCTAAATCAATATTGGTAATTTTGTGGTCATTACATATCAAAAATATTTTATGTAAAGATTATGCCTCTGACACTCCTATACACATTTATAAACTCTTTTTAATTAGTACGACGTCACTCACATGTGATGTCTTGTATAGAGCCAAAGTGTAAATTCAACACTCCCGCACACATGTATACATTTGGTCTAATCTATAAATATAACTAAAGTAACAACCGATATTATCTTTTATTTAAATTATACAGATGCCAAGTTGTGGTAAAAAAAATTCCCGCCTAAATCAATTGCTGACATCATATTCTTATTTTTTTAACTTATTTTTTGGAACCTTCTCATTTTTTACCTTAAATTATTAAATTATATATATAGAGTATATTCTTTTTTAAGACAATTATTATATTATGTTATTTTCTATTTATTTTTCCTACATTACTATGAATTTATAAGAAACTATCTGACTTCCAAATATAATTACTCACGGGTTTAAAAGTACTCCATATTGTATAATTTGGTTAAAATTTTACTATCTTCAAAATTATTTAGATCTAAATAACTTTGCAATTAATGCTAATATTCTACTATTGTAATATCAATTGGTAAGAGTGGAAGCATATGATTCCATGGTGCTGTCTGATAATATGTTGGATTAAAATTTAGCAACATTTAGTATTTGGCTGCTGCCCACCTTAGTGTTTAACTGTTTAGGAACATTCAGTTACTTAGATAAGAAAATTGATAAAGAATACAATTATAGTTTGGTGTGAGCTGTTGACTGTCGTTGTAGGTAATGTATCATGTTACTTGAGGTGTAGTTAAAAGTGTATATCATGTTACTTGAGGTGCAGTTAGAGGTGTATATGTATCTTACATAGGAAAATTAATAGAGAATACCATTATAACTTAGTCTAATTATAAATTAAATGGTATCACTAAGCTTGATTAGGGACTGGTGGGAAGTATACATGGAACTACTATGCGCCGTATTGTTATTGGTTCGGATGAAAACAATGGGACCTTGTCGAAGGTCCGATGAAGTGGAGAAGACTAGATTCGATCCAAGTAATGTTGGGTCGAAGGTTTCCTGCACAGTAAACACACGTAAACTAGCCTCGGGGGTGTTGCCGAGGAAGGCCCCTCCGATGCTAAAGTCAGTACAGTGTGTAGAAAGAGAACACTATGCAAGAGAATTAATTGCTTGAGGCTTTTTTCTTGAATGAATGTACAAATGTAATACTGATGGCTTTTATACCTCTGCATACATGGAGAAGTTGGGCCTTAGCCCAATTGGCTTGCCGTGAGGACTGATCTTTGACTTTAGCACAATTGGAGAGATGGACCTTGACCTTGGGCTTTTAATTGGATCATTTAATGTCTAGGCCCAATTGGACTAAATTGGACCCAAACAGTTATGAAGAGAGAATTGAATTGAGCAGATTTGTTGAGGAGAAATAGTAACTTGCTAGATGAGCACCCCAAAAACACCAGTGGGGGTTGCTAGCGGGAATAGGAATACTACCATAGTTCTACCAGCTGTTATTGTGGATATTTGATTGTTTCCTTAATTTCTGGTGGAAAACACCATTCTAATTTATGTTATTGTTTTGAGTGTAGGACTCTCACCGAGGGTATGTTGTGTGCACCAGCAAAAGTTGTTCTCGTGTCTACTCAATCACTCCTTGGTATGCATGTGTGTTCCATGAACTACATTCTTTTACACGAGAACTATGTACGCATTGCTGTCATCGATGACCAAGATATCTGTAGTCCTATTTCTAATGTTTCTTTGAATCGATTAAGTTGGGATACTTGCTCTAGTAATCTAGCTGAATAATATACTGTACTGAAGTTCTGAAACTAATGTCTCTTTTTTTATTCGTTGTTTTTTTTAATTTAAATTAATAAATTACGTGAAATTATTGTTATTATTATTATTATTATTATTGCAATTAATAATAAACAATTATTGTTTGACATTTTTCCACTTCTGTTGAAGATTATTATATTGTTTTGGACTAATGCATTTTTTCATTACATTTTTCTCTAACATTTATTAGTAGTAATCTTCTTCATGGACAAGTTACCTTATTAGCTACAATTTTATGGCTAAGCGATGACGATTTTAACTTGTCTTTTTGTAATTTTTTCCATGGACCAAGTTACCTTATTAGCTAATACTTTTATGGCTAAGCGATGACGATTTTAACTTGCTGCTTTTGTAATCTTCTAGGTAGATGAATTTTCTTCCTATTTCACTATTGACAAACTTTTAAATAAAACGGATGTTCAGTAAATTACTGAGCATCCGTTATAAAGTGATAATAAAATGTGCAAAAGTTACACTAAAACGCACAAAAGTTACCCTGACATATATAAGAGTTATTTATGCTTCATTGATAAATTTGACAAAAGTGGCACTAAATTTGACAAAAGTGACACTAAATTTAACAAAAGTATACCCGATGTACAGTAAATTACTGAAAACCGGGTGTATACAAAAGTTTTCCTTCAATATTGGTGTTTTTGTGGTCATTGTATATCAAAAATATTTTATGTAAAGATTATGCCTCAACACTTCTATACACACTTGTAAGCTCTTTTTAATCAGCACAACGTCACCCACATGTGATGTATCGTATAGAGCCAAAGTGTAATTTTAAAACTCCCCCACACATGTATACATTTAGTCGAATGTATATTAAAGTCATTATGACCCTGATTTTGATACAATGTTAAATATGAGTTTGGGTTTCTTCACAAGACCCAGGGAAATTTCATCTTAATATCATTTGGTTATTGGAGTGACTTAGCTAGTTAGACTCTCAACCTTATAAAGACATAAAGTGTTTAATTTTCTCTTCTTTGATTAATATAAATATTCATGTGTGTTATTTGGAAAGATTGTGCAGCAATATTTTCAATGATATTTTAGTATAGCAAAATTGTATATTTTGATATTATATTATATTGAGATAAATTTACTAAGATATCATATGATTGTATTTCTTTCGCACATATATGTCAACTACTAAGATAGTATGGTTTCTGAAAATGGGTGAGAAATTCCTACCATTTCTTGCACTACAGCACGAGTAACAACGAGCTAATTATAAATTACCTCAATGCCACAATTGTTAATTAAACATGAGTATTAAAACACGAGACGTGAAATGAACTATTATTAATAATCATCCAAACAAGTAAAATTTACTTTAGTTGTATAGATTAATTGAAGAGAACATACAGGACCAGCGGAAGAGTGATGAAGTTTATTAATTTAATAATAACGGAAAAACAAATCTTATAATATCCTTACATCTCAAACGTGAATATTGTAATCCAGTGTCGACATAAAAAATAATGTAAGATTTTATCTCGCGTGATTATTATTATCTTACACTTGTATAGTTGTATTGTTGAAGATGATCGATGATGATTTTTTAACACTAGAATGAAGAATGAACGATCCACGTTTATAGTAGGAGTAATGTCGTCTTATTGTCTTTCTCCAATTATTAATGCAATGTATGCAAGCACATGGTTTTTTCGCACTCAATTCAAAGTCTTATTGAAATGCTAGTTCCTCAGGGTTTATTATCATAACATCATTCTACTTGGATTTAATTGGCACATGTCTTCCTTTTCATATGCTCCGTCTATTTCTTTCATACTTATTTCGAGTTAATATGATTTTCTTTTTGCCATTTTTTGTGCTATATAAAGTTAGGTTGTTCTAAATCTCTTTCTTCCTAAAAGTGAACATGTTTAATAAAACTAAGCAACCAGTGGCGGATCCAGGAATTTCCGACTGGTGAGTCACAATTGATAACCAAATATGTAAAAAGAAAAAATTTACCAAAATTCCCAAGAAAAATTATTTACAAAGATCATCCAAATAGAAAATTGACAAGATTACAGTACTAACTAATAATTAACAAGCTTAAAATTGACAAGACTAAAATTAACAAACTAATAATTAACAAGCTAATAATTGACAACATGACAAGCTTAGCTCTCTAATAATTAACAAACTAATAATTGACAAGATTAAAATTTGTACAAGCATTAGGTTCACATTTCATCAAAAACCCAACAACATTAACAAAAGGTTTAAAGTTAGTATTTTTTTTTAAAAAAAAAAACTTAGAAAGCAATTTTTTTTTTTATTTTTTTTTTTAAAAACTTAAAAAATATTTTGGGCCCTGGTGAGTCATTTGACCCACCAGGCATAAGGCCAAGTCCGCCAATGTAAGCAACATATCGAAATGGAAAGAGCATATAGGAAAGTTAGATTAACTGCACCTATTACTTTTGAAGTTATACATTTATACTAGGGTGGAATTTCATTTTATCCAATTCGATATGTATTTCTTAGATTTTATATTGACTCGTCTTGTATATATTGTATGACTCAGATGATATAATTGATGTTGAGTCCATGAGAAAATCC